CTTTAAATCATTCAAGAACAATCTGTCTTTGGCCCAGTCCTGGGAAGCACTGACCATCTTGAACAATCAGGCACTATCAGCAGTCATGACTCATGCAAAAGCTGGTCTTCAAAAAATGAAAATATGGTAATTCCAAAAAGTGAATTCTCTCTTTCAGCTGAAGTTGATGGCTTTCAAAAACCTGAACAGGAAAAGTTATAAATGCCATGTTTCCAGTCTCTGAAAACTAGCCTGTGCTCGTAGTTTGTCAGTTGCAAGGAACAGATGCGGAGAACAGCACACAGGTGGCTAAGTAGAAGGGGAAGAGTATGTGGCCTGGTCTACACTACAAAGTTAGGTTGACATAAGCTGCTTTACATCGACCTAGTTATGTCCGTGTCTACACTTAAATCTGTCTCCCACCGATATAAGTGACCCATTTCAACGACATAGTAACACCACCTCCCTTTGCGGCACAACACCATGGTCAATGTACGGAGGTCAACACACCTTGAGCGTAGACACTGCATTACTTACGTCAACAGTCCTCCAAGCAGCTAGCTGTCCCACAATGCCCGACACTGTCCATGCTGGTCACAATTGTGAGTTCCACTGACAAGGTCATGGAGACTGGAACCCCCCCACCTCCCCACATTTAAAAACCCCATAAGTTTAAAAAAAAATTTGTTGTTGTTGTCCAGCTTGGTGAGCCCACCTCTATTTGCTCTCCAGTATTGTGCACATCTGCCCAGCTGATCATACTCCAGATGCGCTCCTGCCTGGAGCAGACAGGAGATACTGGATCTCCTGGGCCTGTGGAGAGAAGAAGCTGTGCAGACACAGGTCTGAACCAGCCACAGAAATGCAGACATCTATGAGCAGAATGCTTGGGTGATGCAAGAGAAGGGGTATGACAGGGAACAGCAGCAGTGCCGTGTAAAAGCAAAAGAACTACCGCAGTCATAGTAGAAGGCCAGAGAGGCCAACAATCTGGTGCCCAACCGCAGACCTGCCGCTTTTAAAACGAGTTGGATAGCGAAGACCTATCACCGCCCCGCACACCACTGTGGATACCTCCAAGGAACCAGAGTCATAGGCTCCCTGCCGAGAACAATAAGGAGGTGGTAGTGGCAGATGAGGAGTATGAAGGACAGGACCTGTTTTTGACTTGTTTTACCAGTCCTGCCGGATGAGCCCAATGTAGGGGAAGGACTCTTGGGTAAGTGTGTAGATAAATTTTCGACAAGAACGGCACCCAAATTAGCAGGACGCAGCTTTTGACTTTTCATTGATTTTCTCGTACTAGAAGAGGTAGCGGTACAACAGAAACAGAGTTGCTATCAGCTTTTCATTCACCTATAGAGTTAGGCAGGACGGGCCATGTGGAACAGTTTATGCGCACACGTCTCTTCCTTGAATTCTCAGAGCTCTCAATGAAACTTCCATAGAGGTACATTGCAATCCTCTCCCAAAGGTTTCTAGGGATGGCAGACTTATTTCTTCCTCCGCGGTAGGACACTTTCCCACACCAGGAGGCGATAACTTCAGCAGGTACCATTGCAGTACACAGGCTAGAAGCATACGAGGCCGAGCGGCTTCAGGATGCCAGCAGTAGCTACGTTCTCTCTGCCATTGTTACTCTCAGGGGCGAGGTATCAGCTAACACCACCTCCTGTGGAAAATGGTGCCGATATTCAGTGCCATTGTTCTATACTCAGTTTCATGCAACCAAGCAATTTCCTTCTTGTTTCCCTAACCCGTGGTGGATCATTCTCACCATGGCTTGAGCTGAGGGTGGCACTGGGAATCAGGAACTCCAAAGCAGAAGTGTCGAGAACACTGCCTTGTTTAACTAGGGGAGCAGGAGAAGGGGGAGGGTTCTGAATCTTAAATTTCACTTTTTGTTCCTACTATCCTGACAATGGAACCTTGGTGTGTCTTATCTGTAGCTGCGGCCATTGTGGCCTTGAGGGGGGACTCCCTCCATACCAGCAAAATGATTGACCAGGTGACAAGAAAACAGAGGATCCGGGAGGATGTGTTCTGCAAGACCCTGCAAGCCAGAGCTGCATCACACCTTAAACAGAGGACCTGGAGGGTGAATATTGCAGGTTGTATAGAGACAGAAAGAGTGGACAGGAGAAAGGCACAGGTAAGGGAGAGGAAGATGCACCAAAGCATAATGGGGCTTCTCCGACACCAAACTCAGGTGTTGCAGACTCTTGCAAAGCTCAAAGTTCAACAATCCTTGGCTTGACTCTCACTGCATTCTGTGAAGAACTGAAATATAGTGCCTCCCTACATCCCTTCTGTCATGAGTAAGGCCCTCAGCTGCACCTGCTCGGTACTTCTGATGCCCTAACAAACCAGCTAGGCTGCCTCATGGACTGCCCTGCCTAACTGGCTGAGGAGGCCAGCAGGCCAATTCTTAAACCTAGCAGCAGTAGCTCGCTGGCTGCTCAATGCACATGCCAATGGACATTCTGCCTCCCTTTGCTTGACTTTGTTCTTCACACAGCGCACAGTCAACCTGTGGAACTCCTTGCCTGAGGAGGTTTTGAAGGCTAGGACTATAACAGGGTTTAAAAGAGAACTAGATAAATTCATGGAGGTTAAGTCCATTAATGGCTATTAGCCAGGATGGGTAAGGAATGGTGTCCCTAGCCTCTGTTTGTCAGAGGGTGGAGACTGATGGCAGGAGAGAGATCACTTGATCATTACCTGTTAGTTTCATTCCCTCTGGGACACCTGGCATTGGTCACTGTTGGTAGACAGGATACTGGGCGGGATGGACGTTTGGTCTGACCCAATATGGCCAATCTTATGTTCTTATGATTCTCCAAGCCCCACTCCTGCTTTGCTCCTCCACTGCTCCAGCCCAGATTCTGCCCTGCATCCAGCTTTGTTCCCATCCTGTTCCAACCTTGCTCCTGCCTCTCCTCACTCCAGGTAATCCAGTTCCAGCCCTCGGCTCTGACTCCTGACTTCAACTCTGACTCTGTCTCAACCCGTTTCTCTGACATCTGGACTCAGATTACTCGGCCTGATTCCTGCTCCGAACCAATCCGCTGACACCCGCTCAGCATTCCTCATGGCTTCAGGGCCAGCCCGCCTACCCCTACCACTCAACACCAGGGAAAAGCAAGGGCAACAGCAGCTTTACCTACAATGACAGCAACAGTTGATGAATGCATAGCTACAATGGACATCCATGTTCCTTCCTCTGGTTTATTGATTAAGGTTCCTACATTTTTTTTAAGTTAAAATGTATTTACTTTTAAGTTCGTCAGATTATTTTTCTAATCAGTTTTTGTAGTGAATAAGACGCTTGTGTTTTTAAAGTTATTCGTCTTTATTAGTTTATAAAACATGATGTATGACTACTGCTGGCAGTGAAAGTAGTGCTCTCACTACACATTAAATGCCAATGGGGATCATGGGGGACCCAGCTCCCAAGTAGTACACTCACTTCACCCTGGATCACTGCCAAACACTATCGTTGTCATAAACGTACAGCAACCCCAACCCCCCCCCCCCAACATTAACATGTGCATGGTCATTGATATAAACACAGATGTGCAGCAAGCACCACACAATTTGTAAGAGGCCCCCAAACTGCTGTCCCAGGTTGAGTACAATACACCACAGCACATAATTTGGCTCGCTGTTAAATTGCTCTTTCAAAGCCTACTTGAGCCACAAAGCTGTTTGCTGAGCTCATCTGATAGCCCTTGTATCTGGCTGTTCAAACTCAGCAGACAGCGGCTATGCCTCCGCCCGCCACCCCTGCAGCAAGTTTTCCCCCTTTGCTTCCCAAATATTATGCAGGACACAATCGGCAGCTATAACCTTTGGGATTGTTTTCACATGGAGATCCAATCCAGTGAGTAAACAACATCAGTGCCCTTACATTCGACTGTCATTCTGCACATGCTGAGCCTGTAGTTGAATCTTTCCTGGCTGCTGTTGAGACGGCCAGTGCACAGCTTCATGAGACAGGGAAGAAAGGGGTAGG